AGATTTGGAAGCTCCGGGGCTCCTTTCTCTCTCTCCCTTTGCCCTGGCCTGTCTTTCCCCACTTTATTTCCTTACCCCAAGGTTTGCCAATGGCATTTTCACTCCCTTTTGTGTAACAAGTTTAATATTCTAATATGTAAAGATATCATGCATGACATAGCATTTAGAAGGAAAAAAAGAAAGAAATGGGTGTCCTACTATTATTCGGGAGTGTAAAGACAGACCATGAACAGCAGTTAATTCCCAGAATGCTAATCTCACCAAGGTCACAGGTTTTGGTGCTTTGTATAGAAGTTGTCTCAGATCAGAGAAGACATGAATGATTGAGAGTTGAGGCCATTTGTCTTCAGGTTGTTACTGAAAGGCAACGCTGGCCCTGGCAGTTTGCTGTGTTCTCCTTGCTTGCTTTGGGTTTCCTTGTACTATGCAGATTTTCCACCATGTCCTGTTTTCCCTAGGCAATTACCCTTCTCCGTTTCTTGGTGCAGCACATCCTGAAACATCACTCATTAGGCCAGATGCACCCATCTGGCTAGTTCTTCCCATTTCTGCTTTGGAAGGTCTTTATTTTGCCTCCATGTATAAATGAGAGCTTGACTGGATACAAGCGTGTGGGTTAGCAGTTTAAGACCTAGACCGTATCTCTCCATTCTCTTCTAGCCAGTTGGTTTCTGACGGGAAGTCAGCTGGGAGGTTAGTTGGGGATCTTTTGAAGGGAACCTGGTTTTTCTCTTGGTGGAAGTATGACTACAGTGTGTTACGGTGATGGTTTCTGTCCATGCCTGCTGGGAGTTCTGTGTGCTTGCTGGACTTGGATGCCCTTTCTCCTAGGAGGGAGGTTTGCTGCTGTTCCACTGACTGGATCTTCTAGTCCATTTGCTTTCTACACCTTCAGGAGCGCATAAGGTCCATGTTTGGTCACTTGCTAGTGTCATGTATGTCTTGAACGCTGCTTTGAATTTTTCTAGGATTTTTCTCCTTTTTTTTTTTTTTTTTTTGTCAGAACGAGATAATTACAGGATTTTCTGTCTCAGATGTTCTTTCTTTTCGTTCCCTACCTGTTGTTGAGGTTTGCCACTGTGTATTTATTTGTCACATTGAATTTTTCATTTTTAATATTTGATTTATCAAAATTTCACTGTAGAATCTATCACCCATACCATGTGTGGATTTCTGTATCTGCTTGTTTCTCTGTGCTTTCAGTGATCCTGTGGTCTCTTTCTCCCTTTAAGATTTGTTGTCAGTCTCTTCACATTCTAATCCTGAGGATTTGTGTTCCTTTGGGGGTGGTTGGAATGCCTTCCTTGTGGTTGTTTTTTCTACATTTACTTTTTGGCATCTGAAAATCCTTGTTTTCTTCTCTGATACTTTTTGTCTTTAAATGATGCCTCTGTGGCTTGGTGCAGTGACCGCTCCTTCAGTGTAAGTCTCGAGGAGTCTTCAGGTGGAGGCCAGGGTACCCTGGCCGGTGCTCACATGTGGGGCGAGAGTCCAGGGTGACACCCAAGTTAGGCCTGGTAGATCTCCCGGTTTGTCACTGGGGGATGGGGATGATCCTACTGTTAGTGTAACTCCTCCCCCAGCCCCCCGCCTCACCTGCTGCTTTAACACCAATCAGAGTCCATCCTTAATGCCAGGTGGCTATACCCCTCAGCTACACAAGCAAGTAAACTTCACTGAGCATCTTTGCAGTGACTGAGCACAAAATCTGGCTATAATATACCTTGGGCAAGCTAGGATCTCTCAGTAGTAGTCAATGTCGGACACGTTGAGTGTCCAGACACCCAGATCTACACACAGTGTGCTATTGTGCAGTCACAGGATTTCTGAGATCTTGTCACTCAGAATTCCCACAGTCACCAGGAGCTGAGGGTCCCTGAGCTCACCATGAGCTACTGACACATGCTCTGCTGAGGCAATTTACACTCATGAGCTCATCGTAATGTGAAGGAATCTACATACCTACATCCCAGTGGGTACTCATCCCCCTTGCCAAGCTACCACAGACTCAAAGACCATGGAGAGTGCCAATTTGTCCCTTTTAAAATGCCCCTGTCCTTCATTGTATGGATGCTGGCAAGTGTGTTAGGATTCAGACTGCCTTCAGTGTCCTTTAGTTGCATTACGTCCCAGTTGGTCGGGTCCTCACCGTGGTTAATGGTAATGGGGAGGGGGTAGGGCTCTTCCTCCATGGTGGCTCGTGGATTCCCCACTCCCTGCCCTGGCTCCCATCTGAACCGCCTGTCACCGTGATTGAGTGAAATTCGATCTCAGGCAATGTCTCCTGTAGCATTGGATTTCACAGTGGGTGCACAAAAAGCTTAACTTCTGGGAGGAATCAACATGGTGATGATCCCTCTGGGTAAGGGGGACTGGTTGGAGCACAAGGGAATAAAATCCAGTCCTCATTCATGGCCCAGGGACATCACACACCCTGCTCTAGCAGCAGTCCAAACCCAAGTTAGTGCTGTTCACTAGATTTGACACCAGGAAATATTGCCAGTGGTCCTGGCTGCAGCAGCCTGCCCTGACCTGGCTCTGCAAGGTGCAGTCTCCTGCCAACCCATTCAGGTGGTGTTTTCCCTGCCGGGTTATCTAAACCTTCCCCTAAGAATGCACTTTCTCCTCCTCTCCTCCACCAGCTTACCCTGGTTAAAAATCCACAGTCTATTTCCTACTCAGCCACCTTGCGATCTCTTTGGTGAACATGTTGTTTGCTCCTACGTAGCATGAAATTTTTAGTGGTTTGCTGCATCATCGGGGTTTATTTGGGGTTATGTCAGCCTTAGCAAGGAGAAGGTAATGACAAAAAAGGACTGGCCCTCTAAGCTGGCATCATTACTGCCAACATGGGCTCCCACAATGCACCTGAGCACCTAGGTGCAGACACCCCTGGGGGATTTTGCTTTGCTCAGTAAGAGAACAGTCATGCCTCTGGCCCTCTGTACATGGGGGTTTGACTGGTATCCAGGGGAGGATAACCTACTCCCCGCATGTCAGAGCATGTGTGGAAGGGACAAAGAGCTGATAAAGATGGAACAGGATCTTCATTCAGCACCCCAGAACGGCTGGCTGTAAATGCACCTGCAAAGCGCAGAGCACTGGTAACTAGCAGCAGCGAGTCGGCAGCAGCTCCTCTCTGATTTGTGTGCACAGCCTCTCCTCTTCCACCTGCAGCAGCTGAGCAATGAAGGCAGCAGGAGGACCTATGGCATGATGCAGCTGGCACCTGCTGACATACTATGTGCTTGGTCTCTGGTTTTACTCTTTAAGGTGGATTCTGCCAGAGTTTTTAGGACAGTGCTTCTCTGATTTCTGATTTTCCCTGGCTACTAAACCAAGAAGACATGTAGAGATTCTGCTATACTTTATTCCATTTCATGTTACAAGAAAAACAGTGACAGCTGACAAACCATTACATCTTTCATAATACAGACAAATTACAATTGGTAACAAATATGCAACATGTATTATTCCATTCTCCTTACTATGGTTCATTTTGAAGGACAGTATTTTTCTGAATGCTGCTAGCACGTTTCCTCAGTACCAACCTCATTAGAAAGTACACATCTCAGTGCATCATATAAAAAAAACAAAAGATAAAAGAAAAAAAAATCTACTCCCAGCTAGAGAAGGTAGATTTTGTATGTGCCTCTAAAATATACTGCTGTGGGAAGGGGAATGTGAACAGGAAATTGCTTATTGTATTTGAGAATTTTTTTTTTCAGTTTTTACCTATATATTTTTTGGTGTTTGAGAAAACTGCAAGGCAGGAACATAACACCGTTTCCGCCCCCTGACAAGCCAATAAAGGAGATGGAAGTGATGCGCAGGTGTGCAGCGTATTCTATGATTCGGGGCAGGCAATACTCCGCCCCAGTATGTACAGCCTAAACATCTTCTTATATAACAAAGATTACAAAAACCAGTCATATTCACAGATGAGTATCTGATGTAAATGTATAACATAGGCTGCTGATGACAGCGGCGGTCACAGTCACACCCGAGTGGTCTTGCTTTGCCCTGTAAGCCTGGCGCTTCTCAGCCGGGCATCACGGGACAGGCAACTGCCCCTGCCTCACATCGTCGGCCACGGGCTGAGCTCTGCAAATGTCCCCCGCCTCCCAGGTCCTAAGGGTCTTGGATGTTTAAGTCAACTGTTACTTTAAGAAAATGGAAAGGAAGTACCTAGTCCCCTTTCAGAATACTGTGTGCGGTGAATGTCGCGCTGACATCAGCCCTGTATCAAGGTGCCCGTTCCTTTCTTTCCAGCTGCTTGAATCCAAGTGATTTCTTTGTAGAAAAATAACCTCACGGAACATCCCAGCCTTTCTCCCTGGAGTCCTGGATCTGCTGACGGACATGGCCTGCAGGGAATCCCGTGGCTGCCCTTAGAAATCCAGAGATGGGATGGGGGGAGGTGTGTGCTTGAGAACAGGATCGTGGGGAGGACACAGACAGACACATGTCAGGCCTTGAACTTCATGGAGGGCCTTCCGGAATGGGGCACACAAAGCCCCTGACCCGGGCAGAGATGTCTGTGATGAAACAGCTTCCCCCACTAAGGAGCAATGGCTCGCCTCCTGGCCGGGGGCATTTTGCTAATGACCTTCACATTCCCATCAGAAACCTTTCACCGTTACAGATCCTCAAATGTCCGTGCTAGTATTCAACAGCAAGGCTGAAATCGAGTCCGCCAAATGAATGATTCCAAACAAACCACAGGAAAGGCTGATTTGGGTGGCATATAAACTTTTCTCCTTGTATGTCCACTTTAGGAAAGTCTAATTGTGGTTTCACTCAAACAACTCTCAGACTTCCAATGGGTTGGAATGTATGAAAGGGGAATGAGAGACTCCTAGCAGCAGGTTGTAACCTTCTAGCCTTAGGTGTCATTAGCTCTCCTTAGAAGTCAATCAGCAGACAGCCCCTCTGAGCACTCACAAGCTTACTGTGAACGCATGGGATGGTCATGGCGGTGGAGTGCTGCTTCCCACTACGCTCCAGAAACCCAGCCGCTCTCCAGGGCAGGGATCCCGGTCTGCTTTCCCAGAAGCACACTCGGTTGGAAGATGGCTTTCCTCTTACCCAGCAGTCACACAAAGTCCTGTCGACTGGATCACAAGTTTCCATCTTCTTAAAAAGTAGGGCACATCCCAAGCTCTTGGATTTCCCTTTTCTCTTTAAAAAACTAATAAAGGAACAGCATACACAAGGTGCTTGCACAGGAGTCTGTCCAGAGGAGCCAGGCTCTGTGCCTCAAATGACTGCTCTAGCCACTCACTTGGCCTGGTGCTGCTGGGGCTTAGCGAGGTGGTGGTTTTGTGGGGAGTCCTCCAGCACCAAGCAGCTCTCCCTCCAGATCCAGGCACCAGACCCGGCCTGTCTACCTTCCCTCCAGGGTCCCTTAATTTCTTAGATGAGGGAAGCTGCGCCTTACTTTCTCATGCTGCCAACCTTCCAGCAAGATCCCTATATTGTTTCCAAAACCTGCACGTGCAGTTTTCCCGGAGACTGTGGAAGGCCAGCACCAGAGGGTGTCTTCAGTCAGCTTGGGATGTGGTGGTCGTTTGTTTTTGAAGAAATTTTAGTGAGGTGCTTGGTTGTAACCCCGCGAAGTTTGAACTCTGGACGATCCTTTTTAAGCATTAATCAGCCAAAACTGCTTTCAGGACATCTAGAAGGTTCAGCTGGCTTGTGCCCGAGTTTTAAACTCTGTTCCTTAATCCTTTCTCTTTTAAAAATAACACAGTGTAACAGTGGATGGGGAAAATAAGATGTTGACCAGACACAGAACACACATACACACAACACAACACGTGGCCTCCACTTCCTTAGGTGGGAGAGTAAGCAGTTTTTCCCTGTCTGTTCTCAATGCTCAGTGTTAGTCCACTTTCCAGACTACTCAGAAAACAATCATGCTGCGTAGTGTGAAAAGGCAGAGTACATTCTGACAGCCTATGTAAATGTGCAATGACTTCCAAGATAGATCACCTTGGCAGATGTCCTCAAAAGGTATGACAGGTGCGAGTCCCAGACTCAGGGACCAGACTACCAAGTCAGCCAGAGAACTTGGGTTTGCTTTAGTGAAAACTTTCCTTCCTAGCGGTTGCCGAGACGTGCAGTGCTCTCAGAGCAGACGAGCGTGGCACCTTGTTTTATGCCACTGCGTGCTTTCAAGTGCAGACGTTGCTGGGGAAGTGCGAACAGCGGCTGTGTTGTCTGGATGTGTTTAAGACATGGCTGGTGAAGGCAAAGAAGCCTTTACGGAGACGCTGCGCACTGCAGAGGGAAATCAAACAGAATCAAACACAAAAGACTGAAAAGAATACATGCCACGTATCAGTAAGCAAAGCTTAATCTTCACATAGTGCTTGGGAATCACAAGGTATCCAGATGCGTGCAAGGTTTTAAATAAACTGCAGAGAAAACAGGGTCTTGCCAGCTTCAATGTTCTCGCGAGTGAAATCCCCCACAGGGAACGGAAGGAAGCTCATCTCTGTTCCCTTCGTGTGATTGGCCACTTCATTAATGTGTTTTATTTTTCCTCCCAGAATGATGACAGCTTAATCCTGAAAGGAGGAAAAGAGAAAATGGTTATATGTTTAAAAAGCTTACATCATTCTTTTTCCTCAATGACGTGAGACATCAAAATTGCTCAGGCCAAAGTGAGACCTTCGGTACTGTCACCGGGCAGTCCCCACCCATGCGTGTGAGGCTTAGCCAACAGTCCTTACGATACGCTAAACAAATAATCTGATTGCATTTTCTTCTTTGAAAGTCACTTAATTTCCTGAACTCAGATGATCTAGCTTCCTCTTGGACTATTTAGAGGGGGAAAAAAATCAGCAAGTTTCCTTCCCCAAATCATTAGTGGTAATACTGGTCTTAATTAAGTGCCTGAAGCATCATAGAGAGCATTAAAAGTCCTAGCAGCATGTTCATTTTTATGAATATGAAATAGAAAAATGGACCACAGGCATGCTTTTTAAAAACATTCAGTGGGTTGCCTATTGTCAGCTATTTAAGTTTCAGTGGAAGGAAGATTCCCCATTGTGACCTAAACTTGCATGCAACTTTGTTTTCAATAATTCCTGCCTCTAGCCTGTGTTCATGGGCAGGCAAATGGCTCAAGGACCAAAAAGGAAGGATGTTCTCCTCAACACACTTCTGTTAAGAGAAGAAAAGGATGTCTGACCAGCAAAGGCAAAGAGAAATAAAATCCCGGATCAAGTGACACAGCCACAGGGCCACCCAGTCCTGGAACCACCTATCATCAGTGGTCACTGCACCTGTCAGGCCTGCATGTCCCCATCTGCAAGGGCAGATGCTCTTCCAGGACACAGAGGACCTTGGATAGAGCCACATGTGCGAGGTCATGGCCTTGTGCACCTGCCTGTGGCTGTCCTCAGAGTCTTTAGCATCGAGGACATCTCCCCTGCATGGCAGTGACCTTGTAATATCTTGGCCAAGACAGCAAAAGTTCCAGTGTTACACATAGGGATCATCAAAACAGCATCCTCCGCTCCGTCTGCCCATTCCTCCCTTGTACTATGGCAACTACAATGTTAACCTTTGATTCCTTTGTTTCAATAAGGTGAAACTCAAATAGCATAAATGAGCCATTTCCAAGAACCTACAATTCAAGTGGCATTAATGCATTCATAGTGTTGTGCAATTATCTATTTAGTACAAAAGCATTTCCATTAATCCCAAGGGAGACCCGATGCCTTCCAAGTGGTGGTGGTTCATTCTCCCCTTGTCCCAGATCCCGACATTCACCAATCTTTTTTCTGTTTATGAATTTACCTATTTTAGATATTTCACATAAATGTGATCATATCGTATGTTGACCCATTGTGCCTTTTCTCACCTAGCAATAATGTTTTCTAAGTTCATGTGTAGTCTGTTCAACTCTTCATCTTTTTTTTTTTTTTTTGGCTGTCTAATATTCTCTTGTAAGCATAGATGTCATTTTGCTGTTTCAACAGTTGGTTGATATTTGGGTTCTTTTACTGTTTGGCTATTGGGAGTAGTATGCAGGATCACCAGGATCTGTTTGACTAAACTGGGTGATAAAGGATAATTTTAGAATAACAGTAATTGGATAGTAATGATGGAATACAGGGGTTATGATAAGTACTTTACTGATTATGGGGTTTACACACGTAGTGGAAGGAGCCAATATTTAGAAAAGCAAGGAGGACCCAATGAGAGAATCTCCTGTCTGTGGAATGAACTGAAGTACCCTATGTCGTGCCAGTTTACTTATCAGAGCATGAGATGTCTTTTCTCACAACCTGGGCAGCGTCAGCTTCACTTGTAATGACTAATTTTAAGGTGGTAGAAATTTTAAAAAAATTTATTTTCATTGGAAAGTCAGATATACAGAGGAGGAAAGACAGGAAAATCTTCCATCTACTGATTCACTTCCCAAGTGGCCACAATGACTAGAGCTGAGCCGATCTGAAGGTGGGAGCCAGGAGCCTCCTCTGGGTCTCCCTTGTAGGCTCAGGGTCCCAAGGCTTTGGGTCATCCTTGACTGCTTTCCCAGGCCACAGGCAGGGCACTGGATGGGAACTGGGGCTGCCAGGATTAGAACTGGCACCCATATGGGATCCTGCGTGTGCAAGGCAAGGTCTCTAGCCACCAGACCCTAATTTTTTTTAATTTAAATTTCATCATGCATTTGATGGGTGAAGATGCAGGCAGAAGGAGAGCAGGTGTGTTGCAATCACATCGTCAGTGTAATATTCAATTGATTTTTAAAATATGCTGCCTGCACAAGAGAAATGAGGAGTAAATTATAAGCTCAGCTCTGGGCATCTCCACTCAATGGCATATAAATCATAACATTAATGGATGCCATTTTTATACTGCTTTCCATTTTTACAATGCTCTTTTTCTGGAAATGAATATTTGAAACAAGAAATTGGATCTGATTGATAAAATCCTTATTCAGAAGTATCTACATAGAGCTTCTTTGGTTATAAATATTAATTAATTGGATCGTGGGTACCCATAATGCAACTTTGTTCTGACCCAGGTGCCCTATGAACTAGATATTTTTTGGATTCAATTTTCTTAAAACCAACTGTCAGCATCATGTGATGGAGGAGATGAAAAATGAAAATGAGCAGTCCCGCTGTGCAGGTGGGTGACCTGTGGGAGAGAGCCTGCCTGCTAGGATTTTTACACGAACCATCAGACACAGACCAATTGATTAGATCATCTCATACCCGCCACCAACCAGGCTCAAGAGACTAATTAGAGAGAGTACTGCCTGCGCAGGCACCCCATTGACACCTAATTTGCTCAGCCAAAGCCTTTGGGGAAAATGTATTATCTCTGCAGCTGCACTTCATGCATTCCTGATTTGGGGCATAAGCAAGCAGTGCTTCATCACTCTTTGAGCAAACTGAATATAGAAGCCCTTAAGTGCTAAATGCAAGCAAACAGACCCAAATTAAAAACAGGCCAGGCTCTTGCTTAATTCCCTCTGTGCTTCCTGCTAAATCTCTGTGTGTACACACCCCTACACACACACACACACTCTCTCTCTCTCTCTGTCTCTGTCTCTCCCATGCCAGAGGGACAGCACAGCCGAGGACCCCAGCTCATGGTGCTTAGCCCAGTTGAGATCATTTGTGTTATCCTGGTCTGTTTGCTCACTTGGTGGTTTGTGTTTATTTTTGTGTGTTTGTGTTTCTCTGCTGCTGCTAGACTGCCTGTGTGTGTCCACTGCCTCTGCATGCGCGTAGGTGCTTCTGTTTCCCAAGACCCTGGCACTTTGCTTCCCCAACCCGGCTTCGCTGGAGAGAAGTGATTATTTTAGTTCCAAATTAAAACAACTGTAAGTTTTCCCTTTATCACCGAGATTGTGAATGGGACATTGTCCAGGGTGTGTGACTGTGCCGTAGTCTCATTGTTGGTGGGGAAATGTCTCTGTAAGTCTTCCTGATGGGAGGAGGAAGTGCAGAGATCTGACAGGAGCCAACTGACAACAGCAAAAGCAGTGCAGAATGACAGGACAATCAGGTGCAAGAGAAGTGCCTGATGTCAGCTGACCAAGTTCAGTCTATCTTGAAACTCATTCCAACCTCCTCCTTTAGTGTCGAATCCTAAATACTGCACACAATGGGCCTTTAAAGAGAGATACACACTCCACTACACATTTCAGGAAATGAATAATCCAGGTAATATGGAAAAGCAAGGCTATCTTTGTATAAAATCTGGTTGGTTTGAGGAATGGTTTCTACAATATTAGAATAAAAGAGCCGGGACATGCTGTGGTGAAGTTCTGTTGAGGAGTTATTTATTCTATGCCTTTCCCCTCACATGGTGGAGGAATTATTTTACCTGCAGGTTCTGCTCAATTACAATTCTGCTTTGTAATTTTTCACAGTTACTCTATTCTTCAGAACTTAATGGAGATTAGAAGAAATCACTTAAGCTATCTCTTTTTGAAACCAGCATTCAAAATTGGCCGTATTTGGGTACCCAGTCAATGGATTCCAGTGGCCATTGGAGTGTGGATGTCTTCCTGACAGTGTGTGGAGTGTGGCTGTGGGAACATAACTGGAACATGGTTAGACAACCAGGACCTTCTCTCACTGATGAGCAGCCCATAGAATCTAGTCTGATTTTACGGAGCATGAAGCCCAGAGTGTCATTTCTCCAGGCGCCATGTGAACATATTTTCACGTGAACAAGTCACACGATGAAAGCCAAGGGCTGCAAAGCTGTGGCACTGAGCTCCATAGAACAAAGTAAATCTTTGTACCTAGCTGGACAGTCACAATTTAGGGTGGCAAGTTCAACACAACAAGCCAAGTACAGACCTCTGAAGTCAAACTGACACATGCTCATTTGTTCACGGACAGCACATAATGTGATTCTATGCCGTAGGCTTTGTGTGAATGTTAGACCAAAAAAATTTAAATTCCATACTGAATATCTCAACACTGCTATTTGTTTTTGAGTGATTTTCATTACATTATGATTTGGCCAGAGATGGAGGTTTTCCTTCAGAACATCTGAGAGTAAATGCTTTCTAGTTCTGCAGTCCCTGTGCGGAAGCTCCTTCGGAGAGGCGGTGGGAGGACTGGTGTGGGGCAGCAAGAGGCAACACAGCAGTTACACCTCGTTCCTGGAACTTGCTTCTGATTTACGGTCTGTGCGCTGCTTTTCTGCAAAAGAGAACTTCTCTCTGAGGCCAGCATGGCAATGGTAATTAAAGTGAGTGTGGAGATAGACAGGCTTTGTTTGAAGCTCAACAGAAGGCCCAACATTCAAAATAGCCCCGCTCCTTTAAGTTGAAAGCGGTTGGGCAGCATCCATATGGAGGCCCAGTGCACTAATTGCAGCAACTCTGCACATTGCAAACCTCATGCCAGAGTGGTGATTTTAATTAAAAAATTTTAGGGAAAGCATAAAGTCTAACATTTCAAAACAAACCATTTCTCACATGAGGAGACCGACTTAACATATCATCCTAATACCCATCATTATCTACGAACAATTATTGAAATCTTCATTAAAGACTGGGCATTAGATGATGTGTAATTAGGCC